TGTGAGTTAGTGAGTGAATGAGTGAGTGAGTAAGTAAGTGACTGAGTGAGTGAAAAACGTTTTTAGTGATTAAGTTGACGATACGTTAGCAAGTTGATATTTTGTCTACTGCTCCGAGCCTGTCTCTCATTCGCAAGGTTTTGAGTGATGTGAAAGTATGGTGTTCTGGCATCGCTGTTATTCTTGCCAGGTTCGAGAGGGGGGTCTACTGACGAAACGCTGTCTTTATGATCAGACCTTGACACCAATACCGGGTAAATCGTCTTGGCTCACAACCGGCGTTTTCCATCATCATCACGAGCGTCTCCAACTTTGTCACGTGCTCACTGCCGGAGGATGCCGTGAACTAAAATGTTGAGAGCTCCTCCCGGTGCCATAAGCGAGACGTCATGTCATGCGTCTTGTAAAACGTTTCTTACGTATATCAAACCTCCGTTGCGCTCAATGCCGTCACTATGTTCATCAGCTGCAAATCGATGAAATTGAGCACAATCGCCGCGTGCGCTTGATGCTCCTTCACCTTCGACTCTCCGTTCACACCCTTGACTGCCTCGCGCAGTGCCTTCGATATCAGATACGTCTTCATCTTGCAAATATAGTTGAAGCTTCGAAAGACTCGATTTTAAACTGGTGTCGTTATTTGGCTAATAACCTAATAAAATATTTTTTTGAGGAGTTACGTAAATTATGTTGTTATCGAAGTGATGAAACAAAGAGTGGGTTATATCATTGTCCCTCGGGTAAATAATAAATGCGGTGAAAAAATATTGATGAGTTAGACGAGGTTATTAGTTATCCGAGTTTCTTGTGAATTTTTCGTCTGCAGAATTACATCTACAATAATATGCCACCAGCACGTTTAAAATATGCGCAGAGGCTCGAGGTCTGCAATCAAAGGGCCAAAAATCAGTGGTTGGATCAAAGTGCGGTTGCGACATGGGTTACTCAGAAGTTTGGCGTTGGAATCACTCAATCTGCTGTTAGCAGCATCTTAAAAAAGAGTCGCTCGAGGCCATGACAGATATTGAGATTTCGGCCAAACGGCCCCGCGTTGCACATCACCCGCAGCTCGACGAAGCCTTAATAACATGGGTGCTTCAAAATGCCAGACAAGGCATGTAGCCATCACTGATGATCTCATCAAACAAATCAAAAGTCTTTGCTGACCGACTTGGCCTGCGCGAAGAACTTGTTGCGTTGCATCAGAATCCATGGTGAGAGTGGTGCAGCAGATCAGGATTGATGCTGCCCTTCCTGCGCTTTTACCAGTCATTGTTAGGTATGAGCTCAATACTGCTGCTCAGCGTGTTCAGCTAAAAATGCTATGTTTTATTTTACTACACAGTTATACCCACTCGGCCCCGACTAAGATATTACATTGCTTCAATCTGCTGGAGTATTTTTTCTTGATTTTTCTTATTTTTTTCTTGATTTTTTCTTGTACGAGCTGCCATACCGAAGTCCATTATTGGTTTAGTCGTAAAAATTAAGCATGCAGCCGACATTTCTTGCATGTCCAGTTCGATTACAATTTTGTCCGCTGAGGGGCTCGAACCCGCACCACACATGAAGGATGTGTTCAACATGGATGAAACTGGTATAAATGTTAGCAACGTTCTTCACATGGGAGTTCTTAATTTGATGTCTTCGTAGGATTATATAATTCCATGGTTCCAGAAAAGAGTATTGCACAACAACAGATTGGGGGACGTAGACAAGACAAAGTAAGTTTGTTCGTATATAGTCATGATCTTTAAATTAAAAGACTGTTTTACTATCATTCTCCCTTCTGCATCATAGAACCACATCAATATTGCATTTGCTGCCAACGCAGATGTGTCAGAGAAGCTCATGCCACTGTTCATTGAAGATTCCAATAAGCCTCGCATTTTCAATCGTAAGACAGTAGGACAACTGGGTTTCTATCATCGCAGCAACAATAAAGCGTGGATGACCGGCCCCCTCTTCCAGGAGTGGATTGACAGTGACATGGAGGTACAATATGTAAACGCTTTAGATTGCTCTCAAATATTTCAATCACTGTTCTTTAGGCCAAAGATAGGCGAATCATTCTTTTTTTTAGATAGCGCCACTTCTCACATAGTC